TTTTAACCACCTCAACATTTGATGTATTTTTTAGAAGAATCGTTACCAGTTTGGTGGTTGAAATTTGGCACCTGTTTTTAGTGTTTATTTCTTTGGTTGCTGGTGTAAGTGAGTATTTTTATATGGTCTATTAAGTATTTCTCAGGTTTTTTTTTTTTTTAATGATTTGCCTGATATTGCCCTTCGATTATTTCTTATTGAATTCATCATCTTTTTATTTTTTACTTTTAAGACATCTTAATTAAAGGAATGGACCCTTTGTCTCACGTTACAAATACGTTTCCTTAATTTGCTTTATGTCACACTCATTTTTCATTAATGAAATAGATTAAGATTTAATCTATCAATCTTAATTAGTTTAATATTAATGTAAAAAAAAATTTGTGTTTTACTCAACTAGTCTTTGGAAACTTATCTTGATAATTTTAAAGTTGGAGGCAATTCTGAATTACATGCATAAACATTTTCTGTTGAAATGTGTGCCTTTCATAATTTGAATTAAAAAAATTAAGTAGACATGAAACTAATTTATCATGCTTTGTTGCCACACTTGGTCTTTCTAGGCAGTTATACTTAAGCATGAACATTGACGACAAACTGGAAGGATTGTTTCTTAAATGTGGCGGCATAGACGAAATGCAGTCTTCCAGGGCAATGGTTGTAATGGGTGGAGTGTCTGGCCAATCTACTGTGTCTGGGGAGCTGCAAGAGTCAGTGCTTCAAGATCGGAGTATACCTCACCAGGAGATCCTCGCTGCAGATGAAGTGTTACAAGAAAGTGAAATGAGACAACAGGATATGATATCACACGATGAACTCATGGTCCATGAGGAGACAGTAAAAAATGATGAAGAGCAGATGGAGACACACGAAAGACTTCCTCAAGGACTACAGTATGCACTTAATGTCCCTGTAAGTAATTCCTTTATAAGATACTTGACTTCCAGTTAGAAACATAATTTTGTGTTAAGTAATACTGCAAGTCATTGAAGAAATTTCACAAATTTTTTTTTAATATTTTAAAATATAGTTCAAATGAATATTCTTGAGTAGATATACTAAAATACTGACAAGTCACATTTGGAAAGGCAAAATTAATTAACTGAAGTTTTTGTATTACATATATTTTAAGAAATTATCT